TGTATGATCTTATTTAAAAAAATTTTTTTTTTTTTACTTTTTTATATAAATATGGTATGTTTAAGTTTAAAACAAGTTAGATAAAAAGTAATCTAAAAAGTAGTTGGAATACATTACCTAAAATTAGTAACCTCTTTAAGCTTGGTTTTTCCAAAATGTGCCCAGATCTCGGATTTAAAAATATTGGGTGCATTTTTTTAATACTCGCGTGACAAGCGCGTATGCGAATAACGTCAGCAGGCTATAATCGATTATGGTCTATTACTGCATCGATGCAGAATCATCAACGTCCGCAACGATTAATTTCAACACCCCTAATCAGCAGTGGTTTTAACAAGGGCTGCACGATTAATCGAAATCGAACCGAAATCATGATTTGGCTTTGATGCATTTATTGAATCACAAAGGCTGCGATTTTTAACGAAATAAATATATGCACAGCGCCAGTAGTAAACGCTGTGAGTCTGAGTAGCTTATAACGTGCATCTGATTAAGCAACACACTCCAAGCATCCTCTCAAACTTAATGAGAAGTATAAATATGGTATGTTTAAGTTTAAAACAAGTTAGATAAAAAGTAATCTAAAAAGTAGTTGGAATACATTACCTAAAATTAGTAACCTCTTTAAGCTTGGTTTTTCCAAAATGTGCCCAGATCTCGGATTTAAAAATATTGGGTGCATTTTTTTAATACTCGCGTGACAAGCGCGTATGCGAATAACGTCAGCAGGCTATAATCGATTATGGTTTATTACTGCATCGATGCAGAATCGTCAACGTCCGCAACGATTAATTTCAACACCCCTAATCAGCAGTGGTTTTAACAAGGGCTGCACGATTAATTGAAATCGAACCGAAATCATGATTTGGCTTTGATGCATTTATTGAATCACAAAGGCTGCGATTTTTAACGAAATAAATATATGCACAGCGCCAGTAGTAAACGCTGTGAGTCTGAGTAGCTTATAACGTGCATCTGATTAAGCAACACACTCCAAGCATCCTCTCAAACTTAATGAGAAGCGTTTATAAACCTGTTGTTGAAAACATTATGAATTTACTCCACAACATCAGTCATTACATGTGTTTAGCACTCAGTAATGCGCACTCAGTCCTATTTTGGCCATAAATAGGAAAAATAATACTTCTCTCTAAAGAAATTTGAAGTAAGCATATGATAATCCATGTTTTTATCCAGTGTATAGAAGTGTACAGGAGTTTTTTTTTTCTTTTCTTTCTTTTTTCTTTCTTCACAGTGGATGTATATAAGGCTCATATTTCATATTAAAGACATGGACTCCGTTTTTTTACATGCATCCTGATAAAAATTAAATTACTGTCAAAAGATTTGTATCACAACAGTATCATATGATGTTCAGTTATGTTAACAAGTATCCCTGCAGTTCTCTGTAAAATAAAATTAGTATTGTTATTATCTTATCATTATTTTTTATCTAATTATTATATTGTTATTTTTTGTTAAGTTGTTTTAAAAATCGCATTTAAATTGCAATTTTAACCAGAAAAATCACAATGAGATTTTTTCCCCCCCAAATCGTGCCGCCCTAGTTTTAACACTAGTACGATCTCTGCGTGTCTCCCTCTAGTGGTGAGTCGGGTGCTGGAGGTCACCGACCTTCCCGAGGGCATTTCCCGTCCGGAGGCCGAGAAGCTCTTTAACCAGCTCTCGCTCTGCGGCGCCAAGATCCAGTGGCTGAAGGACCCTCAGTGTCCCCGGGGCCCCGGCGGAGGAGCACGGGGAGACGCCAGGGACCCCGCTAACCTCTACACAGTGGTGGCCGTGTTCCCCAACACCATGGCGGCCCAGAGCGCCTCCTTCAAACTCAACAACAGCGGCGGGAATTTTTTCAAACTGCGCGCCACCAAAAAGAACTATGACTTGCGCGTGCTGGAGCGAGCGAGCTCGCAGTGAGTCGGGAGAGAGAGAGAGGAAGTCGAAGATGTCAAAGGGAAGAGATCATCCTGGAGTTCCTTAGGGATCTTTTTTATTGTTTGTATCATTACCAGAAGAGCACATATGACACAGAAGTGTGTTGCGTTGTACGTGTGTCGTATGATGCGCACACACACTCATAGACACAACCGGGCATCTTAAAGGGTTAGTTCACCCAAAAATGAAAATTAGTCCATAAATTACTCACCCTGAAGTCATCCTAGGTGAACATGACTTTCTTCTTTCAGATGAATCCAGGCGGAGTTATATTAAAAATGGTCTTTGATATTTCAAGCTGTTTAATGCCACTCAGCAGGTGTTGCATGCATCAGTCCAAAAGAAGTTAAATAAAAAGCGCCCATCCATAAAAAAAAAGTGTCTCACACAGCTCCGGGGGTGAACAAAGGCCTCCTGTAGTGAATTTTTGTAAGAAAATTATCCATATTCAAAACGTAATAATCACTTTAATCTAGCTTGCGCCAGCAGTTGTACACAGAAGCAGCTCCGGGCGGATGACGTATGAGTTCAGTGCTGCGCATGCGCCGGTGAGTCTCGTGAAAACCAACGTTTGTTATCAGGAGCAAAGGAAGCAAAGTTTCCTTACTTTAGCAAAGGAAAACCAGTCTCCTCTTGGCTTATATCCAAATCCTCCGACATACTTCTTTACAAATCCTCGTTTTGTACTTCTAATAAGTGACTGTTGTTTTGTTTCGATCTCTCCACTGCGTTTCCGCGTGCGTCACTTCTGAGCGGCCCGTGCGCAGCGCTGACCTCATCCGCCTGGAACTGCTTCTGTTTACAACAGTTCAATTCAAGTTTATTTGTATAGCGCTTTTCATGATACAAATCGTTGCAAAGCAACTTTACAGCAAATAAAGTTTCTACAATAATTAGTGGTAGCTTATCAGTGGTGACTGTCAGTTAATGTACATATGGCAGAAATGTACGGAAAAATCAATTAAAGACATAATCAAACAGACGATGAACACTATTAACAGCAATTATTATATGATGCGATCAAACTTATAGAAAAATGTGGTAGTTCTGTGGTAGTGTATGTGTCAGGGCAGTGAACAGTGAGCGCAAGCTACATTAAAGTGATTATTACGTTTTGAATATGGATATTTTTCTTACAAAAACGCATTGATTCGCTACAGGAGGCCTTTGTTCACCCCCCGGAGCCGTGAGAGACACTTTTTTTCTTTTTTTTTATAGAGGAGCGCTTTTTATTTAACTTCTTTTGGACTGAAGCATGCAACACCCGCTGAGTGCCATTAAACAGCTTGAAAGATCAAAGACCATTTTTAATATAACTCCCGACTGGATTCGTCTGAAAGTAGAAAGTCATATTCACCTAGGATGACTTGAGGGTGACTAATTTATGGGCTAATTTTCATTTTTGGGTGAACTAACCCTTTGAAGGGACTGTAAAATTCAGTAACTCACATTCATGTCGTTCCAAACCTATGTGACTGACTTTCTTTTGTGAGACAGAAATGCAGGTATTTTGAAGAATGTTGGTTACCAAACATTTTAATTTGGAAATACTATGGAAGTCAATGGGTACCAAAAAATTTTGACGGCCAACATTTCATTGCCAGCTGTTTTATGATTTAATACAGGTGTGGAACAACATGAACGTAAATAATGACCCATTTTTCATTTTTGGAAAAATGATTATCGTTCCAAACTTGACTTAATTTCACCTCTGAAACATTAAAGAAACTATTTTGAAGAATGTTGGGAATCGAACAGTTTTGGTTTCCATTGACTTCCATTCTGTGGAAGTCAATGGGAACCGGAAATGTTTGTTTGCCAGTGTTCTTTATATCATGCTTCTGCAAAAGAAAGAAACGTTTACCGATGTGGAACGACAAGAATGCGAGTAAATGACAGATTTTTCTTTCTTACTAAAGGGATAGTTTGGCCCAAAATTACATTTTTGTTCATTCATGTTGTTCCGAACCTGTAAGACGGTACTTGTCTTCTGTGGAGCATGAAAGAAGATATTTTGAGGAATGTTGGGACTCAAACCGATTCCCATTGACTTGCATTACAGTATATGGAAAGTCAATGGGAACCAAAACTGTTTGCCAGCCTTTTTCACATCATGCTGCTTTTGAAGAAAGAAATGCATGTAGGTACGATGACAAATTATTTTTTGGGGTTTCCCTTTAAAAGCATAGTTCAGATCTTGTCTTCATTTATTCACCTTCATGTCATTCCAAACCTGTTTGATGTTATTCAAGCAGAGCACAAATTGAGAGTTTTGAAAGATCGCTCTTTGAGAACGCTAGAAAATATATCGAGCAGACATTTTTACTGTTTTTACTCGTATACTGGTTTTCAGTCGCCACTTTGACATCATATAGTCGAGATGCTGTTTTCCAGTCCGCAAGACTTCCACAGAAGCCTCACATGAAATATAAACGCAGCTGATTTTAAGGTATTCTCATGTGTGGAGCTCGACAGCTTTACATGAGCAAATAAAGCTCAGATGTTCTTCCAAAGCTGAAGAAATGAAGTCGAGCAGGTTTGGAGCAACATGAACGGTCTCTCAACTCGCTCATGTTTTCTCCATCAGTCTCTCTTCCTCTGGCTCTCTCTCTCTCTCTCCTCATCCTCTCTCTCTCTCTCTCTCTCTC